CAGGAAGACAGGAGATGGAGACTGGAAATCGGGAGGCTGAGCCCCTTAACGCGGCTCTCAAGCTGACCTGCACCTCCAGCCTGCTGCAGGCTCCAGTACCTGAGATGACGATGCAGGTGTCCCTGGACCTGCGCTTCATGGCCCTATAGGCAGCATTGGCCACAGCGTAGAGGTGGGGTGGTCGCTCGTAGAGCTCGCGGCCCTGGTACCTGGCGATGGCCTCGGGCCCATACAGGGGCAGCTGCTTGTAGGGGTTCACGGACACCAGCACCTCGCCGATATAGGTGTAGATGAGGCCTTTCTCGAACCTGGGCACAGGGGCCAGGCCTCAGTGCCTCAGGTCCTGGGCAGTCCTCCCAGGAGAGGTCTCAGGTGGCCAGTGCCCCAACCCCAAGAAGGGGCAAGGGCTGAAAAGTGGGGAGGGGTCTTCTCAGTGCCACCATGGGGAAACTGAGCCACTCAGAGCTATCTCTGCAAAGCATGGAGTGTGGGGTCTGTGATGGTCTCTGTGGGGTTCCTGGTGTCCCAGTATTCAGGACACCCCTGTCTCACAGGGGCTCGGCTTGGGCAAGGCCTTGGCAGGGTCTGGGCTGAGGTGGGTGGCTGGGCTCTGGAGGGGGCTTGGTGCAGAGCAGGCCACGCCTGGCTGCTTCCTGTGTCAAGGCCCCGGCGGGAACCAGAGACGGAAGGGGCCCCGCCCTGCCCCACCCGTCACAGTGACTGCCACACTCCGAGTCCCGCCAGCGTCCCCAGCCTGCACTGCTCCAGACTTCCCCATCCTTCCTTTCCCAGACGCTGGGAGGCTGTCTGTGCCTCTCTGGCTGTTGCCCAGGTTCCCAGCTTCAGGTTCCTGGGCTGTATGAGACCCCGCTCCTCTCCACGACCTCATCAGAGGAAGGTTCCTCTTCTGCTGTCTCAGACACAGCCTCCCAGCCTCCCGAGAGCGGCTTAGCCCATGGCAGGTCATGCAAGCCCTCTCTGGGCCTGGTAGTGATGACACGATCTTCTCATTAGTGTGAGATTGGGGAATGGTACATGCAAAGCTCCAGAGTGATTGGGGTGTGGTAGCACACTCCTGTAATCCCAAGACGCAGGAGGCTGAGGTAGGAGGATTGCCTCAAATTCCAGTACAGCCTGAGCTACATAGTGAGTTCATGGTCAGCCTGAACTCACAGCAAGACCCTGCAAGCATAGAAAAGAGCTGTTTCCTGGCTGCCCTAGCTCTACTCAGACCATGCAGCCTCTTGATTGCATGTTTCATGGGGCTCCTGGTCCCTGAGCTGTCCCCAGGGAGGTCCTCAGCACAGGGCAGTCTTCCTGGGTGCCCGGCTCCGCACATGACCACCTGCCTGCCCACGCCCTAGTGCCTGGACTCCTTCCTTCCTGCCTGTTGTCTGCTCTCCTCAGTGGCATTGTGAGCTCCAGTGTCACTTCTGCTAGGCATGTTCTGCAGCCCTGGCCTCCCACCGCCACCCCAGGAGCCAGGGCTCTTCTCACACTGGTGAACCCAGGATGGGCTGCCCGCTTTGACCAAAGCTGGCCCCACATGTGTGTCTGATCCCTTTCTGTCTCTGGGGCAGGCACTGGGGGGTCATGCCCCATCTGTCACAGGAAGGATAGGATGACAGCAGAGTGCAGGGGTGCGCAGGGGCCTGTCACTTTCCTACAGCCACTGTGCCTATGCTTTGTGGCACTCAGGTGAACCCTTGAGGTGGGTGAGCGCGTGCCGCCGCCCCATCCCTAACCACAGCCACGGGCACCCATGTGCTGTCTGTCCCTGGTTCTGAGTCTGTGAGGGGTGGGTGGAGGAAAAGAGAAACCCGTACCCTGGCCCCATCTACCTGAGTTGCAGGTTCCTCATGAAGTCCTCCATGGTCACCTGGTCCAGAAGCACAAAGTCGGGCTTGCCACACTCGGGACCTTCGTGGTCCTCCATCCTGCCGGCAAGGAAACACCCAGGCAGGAGCACCCCACCTTTGTGTGCAGGAGGCAGAGGGGAGGGGAGCCCCGGGAGGCCCAGCCCCTGCCAGACAGAAAGTAGGAAGTGGGTTTGGGCCCTGGGAGGGGCAGCCCTGCTCACCCGCTGCTGCTGCTGCTACGGGGGTGCTCTGGCTGCTTCCTGCACCCACGCCCACACCCACGATAGCCCGAGTCCTGCTCTTGCAGGGAAGAAGACTTGTTGGGTTCCTGCCCCACCTTGTCTGCTTGTGGGAGTCATTTTTAGGGCTCAAAGGGCAGATTTCTTCACATGGTCATGGTTAACCAGCTGTATGGGGAACCATCTCACCCCAGAACTGAGGTTCACGTACATCGTGAATTTTGCTTTATGTACTTTGTGCATTACATTAACACAAAAATAAAAAGGAGGTGGGAATAGTGGTACACGCTTGTGATCTCCACACTTGGGAGGCTGAAACAGGATCGCTGTGAGTTCAAAACCAGTCTGAACTACAGCGTGAGATTGTGTCTCAAAAAAAAACAAAGGATACAGGTGCCCAGGCCTTTGGGTAGGGGCCATCACGGGAATTCACCATGCTCCAACTCCCCAGCCCAGCAGTTGTGGGGAGATGACCCTCTGAGACTGCTGTGCAGACCTCTGCTCTGTCCCTCCACCCTCATGGACAGTACCTAGTGTGTGGCACAGTGCTCAGACCCCAGCCTTGGCCACCTCACAGTCAAAGAGAGAGAGCCCAGAGAGAAATGTTTGCCCGATACTTCCTCATTCAGAGGCTGGAGGGCAGAGCCAGGGTCTCAACCCATGTCACTCATGTGTCACCTGGAGATTTGGTTTAACAATCGTTTCAGCTTACCATGGTGGGGCACACCTGTGATCCTAGCACTCGGGAGGCTGAAGCAGGAGGATCACTGAGTTCAAGGTCAGTTTGTACTACAGGTGAATCCTTGCCTCAGAAAACCCAAAAACAAACAAACGAACAAAATACCACCACCACCACCAAAAACTCAATCAGTTTAGTCATTTCACTTCGTAGGCCTTAAATCGATGATGCAAAATTATGTCTCCCTGATATCCATGACAGTGGATGTGTGCTAAGAAATTGTGCGAATCCAGGAATCTGCTGAAATGAGGCACCGTAAGAGACTGGAAGTAAAACCCCCAGATCTAAAAATGGGGCTCTGGGTCCTCACTGGGTGGGGCTGTGGCTCCTCTTACACAGATTCCCTACCAGTCTTATCCAGGCTTGGCTGGGGGTCTCCACCCGGGCCATCTCTGGCAGGTGCTTTCGGAGGGTTTTCCAGCTGTGGGCTAGGTCAGGCCTCTGTCACTCTCAGGTCCCCATGCAGTTTCAGTTCCTGGCCCTCAGGGAACCACGCAGACCCTGAGCTGTTTAATATTTTTAAAAGAACTGACGTGAGAGTTTAAAAAACCTGATGTGGCTGAGTTCCAGTAAAACTTTAGGCACGTCAGATTCTGAGCTTCAAAAATTTTCCACCTATTGTGAGATACCCTTTGGGTTTTTTCTTTAACCACTTAAAAAACCTCAAGGCCAAGCTTAGCTCAGACTGGCCGTGGGTGGCCCTAGAGCCTGGTTGCCAAGCAATCAGGGTGGAACCACAATGCCAACTGTCCCCTCCTCCCATCAGTTTGCACAACTGTGTGCCACGCACGGTGTCTCATTTGACCCATAGGACCACGTGGTGGTGACTTTGACCCGTTCCTGTCTCCCATCTGCTGGACCACGGCTGGGAGATGAGGTCATACCAGAAATTCTTGATGCACCAACCCCTGGTCCTCTTCTCAGCTGGCAGCTAGTGGCAGTTCTCCCAGGGAATCACGGAGGGATAGCAGGGTGGACCTGAGCCTGGCGCTTGTGGGCACTGAAGAAACCTCAGGGCCCCCAACTAGGGAGCACTTTTATGTCTAGGCCTACTTGTGCTGCAGCTGGAGGCCCTCCTGACTTTGGACTGGCTGTTCCTCCTGCCTCAGCCTCCCAGTACCAGGATCACTGGTGTGCACTGCCAGGCTGGCAGCTCCAGGCTGTACCCTGGTGTGGGTCTCTCATGTCCTCTTGCCAGACTTCTCAGCTTCCCACACAGCAGAACCGAATTCAGAGCTGTATTTAACTTCTACTTCATCTGAGAATGTACTATTGGCTCAGTGGTAGAGGTACAGTCCCAAGGTGCCCTAAAAACCCTGGGGTACGGAGTCCCTTATGTCCAGTAGAGTGGGATGGGGACCTGTCCCCAGCAGCCACTGCTCTTCTTAAACCTACAAGCTGCCCTCAAACTTCCCCCAAATGCCTGGAGCCCAGGGAGCTGGCACCTCAGGGACACCCTCATCAATAATCAAAGGACAGCCACTATGTTCTCCTCAGTGGTTGCTAGAGTCTGGCCTCGCCTGCACAAAGATAACCCCACCAAGCCCTGAGCACAGCCCTTTCCAGAAGAAACCCCAGCTAGCTGGGGCAGACTGCTCAGGCAAAGGCTTCATGTACCTTGATTCTAACTCAGGTAAGGGCTGCAGTACCTGAAAAAGACCAAACACCCGACCAGCCATGGGCCAAGTGTCACTGGAACCAGCCCCACTCTAGGACACACTTCTTTTATGCCAGCGGTAGGTAGCAAACCTATGGAACACGTGGTTAAGGCAAAAATGTTAACTGTGAGTTGGTTTTCAGCTGGGAATGGTGCACACTTGTAATCCCAGCACTCAGGAAGCTGAGGCAGGACTGCTGGGATTTTGAGGCCAGCCTGAGACACAAAATGAGTTTAAGATCACCCTCAACTGCATAGTGAGAATGTCAAACTAAATAAATTTTAGTTTTTTCTAAACTAAAACCTCAATATTTGGGTTTAACTGCAGTGTTGGCACTTTGCAATAAATAAGGGGCTTGGGGTTGTAGCTTGGCACTTGTCTCTAGAAGGTTCGCCATCACTCCTGCTATGGTGAACCCCACTGCACCCCTGCCAGTGTCCTTGGTGACCACCCAGGTCCCAGGGCCCATGGATAAGCCTGGAGCATGGAGAACAGAGATAAACCACACATTTCAAGTCATATTTATTATTAAACAGCCTTTCATTCAGGAGATGCAGAAGGGCACCTCCGGACTGTGGGCTCACGAACAGGGACCGCAGGCCCCGGACTCTCACACCAGCCCCGAAACTGCGATTCCTCCTGCAGCTGGAGCAAGTGTGATTCCAGTCCGCTGTGTTCAGGCCCAGGTCCTGCTCCCTCCTTGCTTGGTGACTGGTCTCAGCACCCACACTGTCACCTGAGAACGTGAGATTGTGAGATTAGGAACACCATGGGGGCCTGTTACAACAATTAGAGATTAGAGACTCAACACACACCTGTGGGGATGGCTCCCTGACCCATCCCAGGAGCAGAGGGACCTTTGGCCACACCTTTCCAAGGGAGAACCCACCCCTACTGCAGGGGAACCCACACCCACCTTCAGCCTCACAGCCACAGGAGGATCATCCCAGGTCTCCGTCTCTCCTAGCACTGGGTTCACAGCATTGCTGCTGCAGAAGACACCAGGCAGATGCTATCACCGAGCCACGTGCAGGTGGGGACAGAAAGTCTCAGATGGCCCTCTTTGTACGAAACACGCTAGGCAGATCATTTCACCAATGCTGGTAGAAAACATAAAACTCCCCAATTACAAATAAAGCACAGGAGACTCAGCAAAAGCTGCAGCCAGAACACCAGGACTCAAGCTCTAGGGCGACAACACGGCAAAAGGGGCACAAGTTCAAACCCAGCCCACCCTAACCAACTCATTGAAGATAAAATAATGAAAGGAAGCCAGGCATGATGGCGAACGCCTGTAATCACTTGGGATACTGAGGCAGGATGACTGTTGCAAGTTCAAGACTAACTTGGGCCACAAAGTGAGCCCGAGGCCAGCCTGAACAGAGAGACCCTGCCTCAAAAAAACAACAAAAAAGGGAGAAATAAGACGATCTGGAAAGCAGACCCTGGGATCAATGCCTGGTACCTCTCCGCAACAGAGTAATGGGGTCAGAAGGCGACCACTGTGGGGCTCACCAGATGGAAGAACCGGAGGCCTGGCTTCAAGCCTTCACCTGCGGTTCCTGGCTGGGCAGCCCTGAACACACCACTCTGCCCTGGGGCTGCCCATGTGCTTGGCTCCCCAAACCACTCCATGCTGATGATCAAAGCCTGCCCCCCCCCCCCCCCCGCCTCTCTACTCTCAGTGCCCAGCAGGGTGGCGCCAAGGTCTCCTCCATGGGCCTTCTGACTTCAGGGCCTCTTGGGCAGAGCTCCTGGAGCTGTGCTCTGCCTTGCTGCTTCGGCTCCCCCCACCCCTGCCGCGCTTCACTTCGAGCTCTTGTAAAGCTTGTTTTAAGGATATAATAAAACCTGCACTGAGCCCAGTAAATGCTCAACAACTTCCTGTGCTTTTAAGTGAGCCCTGCCCAAAACATCTAGAGACAGCAATGTCCCTTGGGTCTACACAAGCCATTCACTGACGTGGCTGTTGAGCACCTGAGATGTGGCTATGTGTACCATAAAGTGGGCTTTACATTTTATTTGCTTTTAACTTAAGCACACATGACAAGCGGCTGCCTTGTTGAGATGTACTTGATTTGGAGGGCAGCAGACAACTGTCTGAAATTTCTATAACCTTGCTCTGGATAGAGCAGGGCAAGGCCTCAAACCATTTCAAAGCTGCTCTAGCAAGCGCTTTAGGAATGCACAGGGCCACAGCAGACCCAAGCACGCTGGAGGCTTGCTACCTACACCCCATGCGCCCCAGCAATTCGAAGCATCCTGCAGCAAGGGACCAGCAGAGCTGAAAGAAGTGTGCTGAGCTCGGTTCCAAGAGTCCATGGTGAGGATACCCTCAGCAAAGTTCTTTATTAGTCAAGGAATAGAAGGGATCTTCCTCCAGGTAAATCTTAGTTAAGAGATCAGACAAGATGAATGTCTGCAATATCCTCCACGGTCTGTTAACTCTGGTATGGTAGGGCTGGGGATGTGGCTCAGTGGTAGAGCTCCTGCCTGCATGCAGGAGGCCATGGGTTCGATCCCAAGCACCACAAGGAACCCCCCCCCCCCAAAAAAAAACCCCAGCTGTTTTGTTTTCTTCCTCACTCGTTTTACATTTTTTGTGGCCCGGGGGATTAAACCCAGGGCCTCTGCACTGAGTTACATTCCCCAGCTCTTTTCATCTGGAGAGTGAGTCTGGCTAAGTTGCCTAACACTTGGGCTCAGCCTCCAGGCGTGGGCCACCACACCGGACTTCACCAGGTAAGTTTATGATTTTGAAACAATTCTGCGCTGCATTGTAGGCCAAAAAGCACTGAGTAGATTCAATGAGGCCGTTCCTCACAAAATACAGCCTAGCACTGCGGCACAAGCCTGGAATCCCAGCACTCACTGGTTGAGGCAGGATTGCTGTGAGTTCAAGGCCAGCCCGAGCTACATAATGAGCTCAGGGGCAGCCTAAACTATACAGCGATCCTGTCTCAGAGAAAAAAAAAAAAAAAAAAGGTTCAGACAAATGTGGGATCAATTCCAGAAAGGCAGTACCGGGACCTTCACAGTGTGACTTACCAGATCATCTTCCAGAACAACTGCGGAACCATCAGCCCTGTCATTTTGGGTCCAACCGGCCAAGGTTCCCGCCTAGAAGAGGACAAAGGCCGTCAGATCCAGCCTGCGCCCACGAGTCACGACCTGAGTCCAGCCCCGAGCGCCCGAAAGCCCTCTCTCGGGGCGGGTCTCCCACGAGGTCACTAGCCCTATTCCGGCCTGGTGGTATTCCCTCCAAGGTCACATAGAGAAACACTTCTTTTCAACTGAGACCCTAGGAAGTCGGGCGCAGCCCTCTCCCCCGGTAAATGGTAGGGGTACAGTCCCAAGAACCTTGCGTGAGTCTCCGTAGGTTCCCACACCCCACTCCCCGGAAGACGGGTGCAGGGCGCGCTCTGGCTCCTCGGGAGGCTGCCGCACATGCGGGCAGCCTCACCCACGGCGGCCCGACCTTCCTCCCCCGCGCCTACAGCGTCCTCGACCCCTACCCGGGTTGAAGAAGGAACAGGCGCAGCCTGAAGACCCTGATGGCAGCGGATGCGGAGATCAACCGGAACGCAATTGCCTACTCGTAGACGCGCCGCCGCCGCCGGCCGTGGCTATAGTCACCGGACACTGGCCCGCGCCGTGACGCCATCGCGCAGTCCCGCCCCGAAGCCGTACGCAGGCGCAGTTCGATCGCCTTTGGCTGATGTCGTCATTGGGGGTGTGGCTTGGCGCGCAGTCAGGGCTAGTTGAGCTGCGGCCCAGTGTGTCAGGGCGCCCCGCCAGGTCGCTGTCGGAGGCGGGATCAGACATCAGGCATCTTCCTGTGCGTTCAGTGGGAATCTACTGCTTTCTGTGCCCCCTTAGCGACCTGGAACCTGGGCTTCTGTCATCTGCACGAGGTCCGTGTCCGACCGGACAGAGAACAGCGCCCGGCAGCCCAGTTGGGATCTGCGCTTGGGGTCCCAGAAAGACCCTGGCTGAGGGAGGCACAGCCCTCAGACCTCAGAGCCCTGGGAATGGAGGAGCTGCCTGTGGGCGCAGCACGGGACAGCGATGCAGGTGGAAAGGCAGGCGTGTGAGGCACGACTTTAGTCCCAGCAGGTGGGTGGTAGGTAAGAAAACAGCACTGGCTGTGCACAAGACCCGCACGAGCTTGTGGTTTCAGACTTCTGCCCAGGAGCACATGACATCCTCCAGGTATGCAAGGGTCAGAGGCCCATATGCCTATACGTTAGGGGTTGGAGAAACCTCACCGTCCCACAACGAAGTAAATGGAGACACCTAAAGACTAACAGGGACCAATTTCTCGCTGAAATCGGTAAAAACTACCAATTTTATTTATACAAAACATAAAATAAGCAAGCTGAGTGTTGTAGCACATGCCTATTATGTCAGCACTTGGGAGGCTGAGGCAGGCGATTGCCTCAAATTTGAGACCAACCTGGGCTGCATAGAGCCTGTCTCAACGCACACTCGTGCATACACACACCACAAGGAACAAGAAAAAAAGAAAAGAAAATGAAGGTGGGGAAACAGAATCCTGAGCTTTAACTTGCTGCCCATCAAGATATGATTTGTATTTTCTCCTGGGACAGCCAGGGACTACAAGCTAATTTTCCTATGAACTTGGGCTTACAGGTACCCAATAGGTAACTAAAGGCCGAACAAAGTTAAGACTTTCGAACTGGGAGGCCCAGGCAGGAGGTTTGTCATGAGTTTGAGGCCAGCCTGAGCTACATACACTCTCTCAAAAAACCAAGAAAAATAAAAAAACTTAAGTGTGACTTTTATGTTGTACCTTTTGTTGCTGTAAAAAAATTGGATCAAATGTCTTCTCAGCTTTGCAGATGGATGTGTTAGTCACTTAGGATATCTGTGTTAAAGGTGATAAGCTTTGTTGATTAGCTCCAAATTTACATGATCTCACTCCCTTTGAGGTTGAAGCCACAAGGCTGGGTGATTTCCAGGGACATCCAACTGTGTTTGAGAGGTCATAGTCTTAAGCCTTAAATCACCTAGCAACAAAACCTCCTCCTGCCATAAAGATTCTGAAACTGATGCCAGGCCTGCTGGCACACATCTCTAATATCAGCACTTGGGAGGCTGAGGCAGGAGGATCCCTGTGAGTTTGAGGTCAACCAGGACTACAAAGTGAGACCCTGTCTCTAAAAATAAAAAATAAATTGTAGAACTATGAAAGCGGGACTCAGATAAGAATCAACCAGCCTCAGTGCACCAGCTAACCCTTAAAAGCCAGCTGTTTGCTTTTGGAGAGGCAGGGGCAGTGTGGACCTCTGTATTAGTGTACCCACTCCAGCACCTGAGCTACAGCTCTTTCCTACCTTCCCTCTGCCTTTCTAGTTAAAGCTTTTTCCTGTAAATATGTACTTCAGCTTTAATTTCCATCGTTACTAAAAACTAAAAACATCGTTACTAAAAACTAAAAACATCGTTACTAAAAGCAGGACCCAAGGTAGCTGGTGACAGAAAGGCAAATACGAATTAGACACAGAAGCTTCATGTTTCCTGAAGAACAAAGGAAGGGCATCCATGCCCAACCTCACCCCGTTCTATTAGAATTTTATTCTCTCTCTTTGCAGACACATGCCTTTTAAAAATGTGGTGCCACTGGGGGTTTAGCTCAGCGGCATAGGTGTCTGCTTGGCAAATGTGAGGTCATGAGTTCGATCCCTGGTACCAAAACAACCCCAAAACAAACAAACCAAAAGAATCTGTAAACTTGTAAACTTGTAAACTCAGCACACAGAAGGGTGAGACAGGAAAATCACTGCAAGTTCAAGGCCAGCTTGGACTACCTCACAAGGCCCTGTCTCTAAAAAAAAGAAAAAAGGTTAGAAAAGTTGATGGTCACTTTCAGGAATGGTTCCTGGGAGCTGTCTCTTTGAAATGTAAATGTCAGGGGACACAAAGCCCAATCTTTGGATTTCCTTTTTTCAGAAGGCCAGCCAAGAGCTGACCTCAGCCTGAGGAGTGGGAGATAAAAACATAGCTGCCACTGGCTCTTGCCCACTGTGCTGTCCGTCACAGTGGTCTGCTCTCACCCTTAGAGTGTACTTCTTCTCCTGCTTTTAGTTGGCCTGAACTCATTTTGCCAGGCAGCCACTTATACCGCTGAGCTAAACTCCTAAACTCCTAAACTCCTAGCTCCTTTTTTTTGAGACAGGCTTGCACTGTGTACTTCAGGCTGCCTCAGCCTCCTGAGTGCTGGAATGACAGGCACGGGCTGCCACACCTGACTATCTATCTTTTCTTTCCCTACTTTTAAAATATGTAAAATCTCCCTACTTTGCCTGCTTGTTTTGACCAAGTCTGTTCAGGACAGAAAGAACCTATAGAAACCACCTCTAGCAGGAGATTCCAGCACCCTAAAAGCCAGAAGCATTATAGTTTAATGCTTAATCATAAAATTATTTTTTCTTTTACATTTGTGGGTAAGTTTTCTGAGGCGAGAGAATGAAGATTTGTGTTTTTAATTATAACTCATCATACAGGCAGAGGAAAATGCACTGGAAGTCCCTGGTGAGAGGCAGTGGGTAACGGGGGTCTGAAATACCACACATCCCCAGTTTAGTGAAGGCGCGAAGATAGCCATGTATAATACACATCGTGGGGGCTGGGGATTTAGCTCAGCAGCATAAGCGCCTGCCTTGAAAGCAGGAGTCGTGAGTTCGATCCCTGGTACCGATAAAAACAAAAAAGCAAAAAAAAAAAAATACACATCGTGTACGCTTCCTTCTGATACTGGCCACCTGGCAGTCTAACCAGGCACATGGCATTCCTGGCTGCTGTCACCTACATCCCAGAGACATCAGTAAAGGAAATGTTCCTTAAAGACCTTCCTCCCTTGGGCAGGGTCTTGGTTGAAATGAAGAATTCATCTTTTGTTAAGAACTGAAAACATCATAGTACAGTGATACATGTGCACCCATGTTTATAGCAGCACAATTTGTAACAGCCAGATCTTGGAAGTTGCCCATCGACTGAGGAATGGATAAAATTCCTTGATCTTGCCCATTGACTGAGGAATGGATAAAAAAAGATGTATTTTTATACAATGGAGCACTGCTCAGCATAAAGAAGGATAAACTGGAGACTTTTATAGGTAAATGGATGCAACTTGACACCATGCTCCTAAGTGAAATAAATCAGACACACATGTGTAAGCATCCTATTGTTTCATTAGTGTAAAAAGCTGAAAGAAACAACACATGTGTATGGGTAACAGTTAAGATAGTTATACTGCTGATTTCTCTAAGTTCACTGAAGGGAAAGATTTGTGCTGGCCACTGTTCAGATAACTACACTCAGATGTCTCATGCTTTGGGTGAATGATTTGGGGATGACAATGCACAGTGTATGTACCATTGTTACCACACTGGTTCATGTGCTTTAAAATTTTATTGTAGTTTTTCTTCTTTTTCTTTTCATCTATGAATAAAATGGATTTGGGAAAAAAACTTGAAAAAAAGAATTTACCTCTTTAAGTTTTTTACATGATTAAAACCTTTGAGAAAGCACTGACCATCTAAATTCCAAAGTAACTTCTAGGTAAAATGTTGATAAGTATCATACTTACCCTAGTCCCCCAGCTCCAAGAGTTAACTTTTTTGTTTTTGAGACGGGATCTCACTATGTAGTTCAGGCTGGCTTCAAACTCCCAGTGATGTCCTGCCTCAGCCTCCTGAATGCTGAGATTATAGACCTGTGTTTACCACGCTCAGCTCCCAGAGTAACTCTTGGGTGCCTAAAGATGTATCCAGATTTGAGAGGCAGGCAGATGTCTTTCTGGCGCTGCCCACCTTCTGGCCCAAACGTGTAACATCTGCTTTACAGTAAGTTCTTCCTAGACTTCTGCATGCCTGAATGTCATGACTGAATTGCTTTATCAAAGGCACAGAGAACCCAGGCTGAAGGCTGTGGGGATCCAGTGCTTCTGGGTCAGGACCCAGCTTTCCGGGGACACCAAGACCAGGAAGAGCAGGTTTGGTTGGAGATTTAGGAGAGCTGCATGGGGTTGCAGGGTGCTGAAGGGGGTCATGAGGAGAGGTAGATGAGGACCACATAAAAGGCTATCGGATTGAGACACTGGTTCTGGAAGTAAAAACCACAATTTACATTTTATGTAAGGCAGTACACATCCAGACATTTTACAGTAATACACCTTTCTTCATTAAATACAAAAGGCTAATGGAGTGGTGGGGCCCTGGTGCCTTGGATCCCTGTGAGGGTTTCCAAAGCTGGGGGCCCCAGCACAGTGTCAGGTGTCAGTGAGGGGCCTTAGTATTGTCCTGGAACTTTGTATTGCCTTCAGCTGTAGTTAAAGAATACAGTGTCATCACACAGTCTCTGAGGAGCTGAACCTAAGATGCAGAAACAGATGTGTTATGTTTGATCCTTTACAGCAACTACAGCAGAATGGACCCCCACAAACCCTGATGGGCCCACAACAGATTGAAGAGGGCTGGGGATTTAGCTCAGCGGCATAAGCGCCTGTCTTGCAAGTGTGTGGTCATGAGTTCGATCCCCAATACCAGTAAAAAAATAAAAATAAAAATAAAATAAAATAAAATAAAATGTTTGCAAAGGGATTGGGTGTTTAGCTCAGTGGCATAGCACCTGTCTGCAAGCATGAGGTGGTGAGTTCAATCTCTGGT